CCCGCGCGTCCGGAGCCTGTGCTCCGCAACGGGAGAGGCCACGGCAGTGAGAGGCCCGCGTACCGACAAAAAAAAAAGACAAGGAAGCAAAAGAGCTGGGCTGGGAGATGGGGATGCTGCCTAGGAGGGGGATGGGGGCTGCAGGTGGCCAGGGAGGGAGGTGGGCCCGCGGTCCTCAAGTGCAGGGACTTGGCCCCTCCCAGGTCAGGCTGCAGGTAGGGGCGGGGGGTTTAGAGAGGCCAAGCAAGGTCTAGCCTCCCTTTGGGGGCGGGAGGAGAAGGGACAGGGGTCCCGCCAGGACTCCCGTTCGAGTGCCCAGTGAGGGCACAGACAGCCTGAACTTGGGTGGGGGGCATCAGGAAGGGGTTGAAAGATGGGCGCCAGGAGGAAGTGTAAGATCCGGCCAGGAGAGCCGGGCGTGGTATAAATCAGATCAGAGATGGGGTCTCAGGACGCTGCCCATCCCCAGAGCCAGAAAACCAATGCCACATCTAGAACAGATGCAGCGGGGACACTTGGTGGTGGGGTGGTCACGGTATGAGGCCCAGCAGGGCCGGAGGGGGCACGATATCGGTGGCCTTAGATCCCCTCCCGCGGGGTTGGCAGCAGCTGGCAGAGGAGGACCGCGTCTGGGGAGGGCCAACCCAGCATCACCCGCGGGTGAGGAGAAAGGGACAAGGGACCGGCTGGGTCCGACACTTCACGCCTTCCTGGGTCCAGTCCCGCTCCCACCAAGACCCCCCACCCCCCGCACCCTACCCGCAGTGCTGGGGAGTGGAAGGGGTGGACCCCACACGCAACCTCGGGTCCTGGGGGACGGAGAGGCCCCCTCGGTTAAAGCCTCCCTCACAGTGTCGGCTCACGTGGAGCGGGGAAGGAAAGGCGCCCGGGCGGCGTCCCGGGCTGCAGCCCTACGGTGCAGCGGGGGCACAGCCCCAGGGCAGCGGGGGAGGGAGCGCGGTGGGCTTCCAGGGGCGAACGCCGCGGAGCCGCTGGCTGCTGTGGGGAAGGGGTCAGGCTTGGCTTCCTGGGCAGTCCTCCTCCCCGGACCCCGGAGGGCCAAGTGCCGCTGCCAGGCCCACCCAAGAGGGGGCACCCTGGGCCCAAGGAACGCACTGCTTGTTGAGCAGGCGGACAAGCAGTAGGGAGTGCAGCGGGGCTGGAAGGGGACATCCGAGCAGGACCGGGGCGCGGGGGCGGGAAGGGACACCCCGGGAGTGGGCAGAAGACCAGCCCCAGGACCCTCAGACTGGTAACCCCTCTGTGCCTGTGTTTCCACATTTGCAAAGTGGCAATAGTTATAACGTCTTCCTCATAAAGCAGCTAAGTTGATTCATGGTTATTGTGAGTGAATACACATAAAGCATTCACACCAATACTGGCATGTGGCTTATAAACAGAGGATTTCAAGACGAATGAACACAGAGAACAGCCCTCAGGAGACTTCCTGCGGGTGAGCTTAGGTTTTCCTCTCTTGCCCTTCACCCGTGACTGTTTCTCAGGCAGCGGGGCGGGGGTGTGTGTTGAGGGGTGCCGGAGAGAGAAGCCCATCCGGAAGGCTATCTAGGCCAACCTGGGAACCAAGCCGGAGTTGCTTCTGTGCTGAAGGTCCAAGGCTCTTGGTGCAGACACAGAAGCAAGACCCCATTACCTCAAACTCGGGGCTTAGAACAACAGAAATGCACCCTCTCAAGTTCTGGAGGCGGGATGCCTGGACCAGTGTTCCTCCCCGGGTGCTGGAGGTGAGGGTCCTTCCCGACTCTTCCGCCCCGGGTGCCCCAGGCGCCCGCTGTCTTGCAGCTGCGTCTCTGCCCCCACGGCAATGGCCTTCTCTATATGGGGCCAGGTCTCCTCTGTCACCCCTGGCGAGGGCCTTGGGGATCACACATAATCCAGCACAGTCTCCCCATTTCCATCTCATCACAGCAGCCAATGGTACCTTAATGTGCCCTATAAGGTGACAGTCACGGGTTCTGGGATTTAGGACAGGAACATCTTTCTGGGGTCATTATTCAGATGACCACAGCGGGTCACAAGGGGCCTCTGCAGATGGGATTAAATACTTAGAGGCAGAGTCTCAAGGTGTTTGAGACACAGCAGAAGATATAAAGCTGCTTTTGAGATGCTCTGGGCCCCGCCTGGGAGCAGGCTGGCATAGAGCTGACGCTGGCAGATCGGGCCCCTCAGCTGTTCCCAGCCCTGTCCCGTCAACCGCTGACACGAGTGCCCGTCTCTGTGGTCGGTTTGGTCCCAGAGCTTGGCCTCCCTGGAGGGTCTCATCTGTGCTCGGATGCTCCTGTCCCCACTGGCCCTCCGTGTTTTCTGGGGCTGCCATGACTTTGGTTTCATTACAGACCTTGACCTTTAGCCCTTGGACAGGAGACCTGTGACATCAGAGCCCAGTATTGTCCCCCTGCCAGCCTGGAGAGAAGGTCTTCATGAAGATGTAGATGTTTCTATCGGCCATTATTTCAGTGCCTTGCCTTCGTTGATTGTTGATCATATTCCAAGCCAAATTCATTTCAAAAAGCTGAAGCAGGCAGGGGAGGAGTTGGAGAGATAGAGAGAGAGAGAGGGAGAGAGACAGTTTATTCAAGGAATTGGCTCATGTAATTATGGAGGCCTGATAAACCCAAAACCTGCAGGGTGAGCTGGCCAGCTGGAGGCCCGGGAAGAGTTGTGCTCAGAGAGAATTCCTTCTCGCTCAGGGGAGATTAGGCCTTTGATGGCTTGGGACTGTCTCAGTCCGATGCGGCCACTATAATGAAATTCCACACACTAGGCAGCTTATAAACAACAGAAACGTCCTGCTTGCAGTTCTGGAGGCTGGAAGTGGCAGATCAGGTAGTGGCAGGGTCGGGTGAGGGCCCCTTTCATGGCCACACACTTCTCGTGTGTCCACACGTGGGCAGGGGTGAGGGAGCTTGCTGGGGCCTCTTTTGTAAGGGCACTAATCCCATTTTGGAGTCACCTCTCAGAGGCCCAACCTCCTTAGGTTAGGTTAGGATCAACAGATGAGTTCAGACCACAGCACCCACCCGCATTGTGGAGGGTAACCTGCTTTACTCAAAGTCCACTGATTTAAGTATCGATGTAATCCAAAAAGCCCTTCACAGAAACCTCCAGGATAATGTTTGAACAAATGTCTGGGCACCGTGGCCCAGCCAAGTCAACACATAAAATTAACCATCACAACTTCTATTCTTTCAAGATACTTTTAAAACACCCTTCAGGGCTTC